GTTCATGAACAGTTTGGCCAAAGATTGGGGAATTTAATATTGACACGAGTATGCAGTTTTGGAATTTGCAGAAATGCTTCAGTTTGATGCATTTTAAAAATTCGGCCATCTTGAATCAGATCATTAAGCGAATACATGTGTGTATATGTTGCATGATGTATAAAATATAATTAAATATAATTGATCGAAAAACGAAATGACGTGCATCAAGGTCCCATAATTTCTGTTGTATGTACAATGTATACAAGCTAGAACAAAGATGTACAAACTGGATAAAGATTATGTTGCACAAAAATGATGTGCATGCAAAGGGAGACTAATAAAATATAGATCATCAAACTGTTTTTCCAAAACTGTCAAAATTTGTATTTTTCCACTCGTTCCTATTGTTGAAACATTTTAACAAATTTACTCAGTTTCCGTAGTAAAAATATTCTGAACAGTTGAATTTTCACAGATTTACAGTAGTTTTTTGTTATATAAAATGGAACTTCTCTCCCACAGTGCATTGTGTTTATCCGCAATAACATGCTCAGTGGTGCAGAATTTCAATTTGACTCGAACTGCTTCAACCTTCAAATGGTTTTTTAGCAGATACGAGATTGTAGGGAAAAAGATATTGCACATTAACCTTTTCACCACCAGCTCCCTCTTTTCATCACAAAATATTCCAGTTTATAGTCTGCACTTTCCATCAGAATATTGGAACAAAAATAGCCCAAATGAAAACCGAAAATTAACTCAAATTTTGTTTGTTAGCTCCAAAATTAGAGTTTATTTCCAGAAATATTCAAGAATATATTAAAAAAGTTCAGAAAAATTTGGGCAAGCAAATCTGCTGATGAAAAGAACAGTAAAAGTTACAAATGTAATAACCACACTCAACTTTGTTTGATGGAACAAATAATTTATTGAAATGAAACCGAGAAACATAATTGTGTAGTTAGAAATGAGTAGGAGCTGATTATAATATCACATGACCAAAAGGCCAAATACCATTGATTATTTGTGCAGCAAAGGCCATTCAGGATAGGACAACTACTTAAACCTTACCTTGTACCTTGGGTACCTCTCCCTCCTATGAAACAACTCAAATGATGCAAAGACCAATATTTCAGGATAGCACAGCCTATTTACGAAAACCATCTACAGTAGGCACAAACTACGGTACTAATGACGAGGTCAATGTGGTAATGCAAAAAGTACATAAGCATGTATATGCATGACGGCAAGATGGTAATGATGCCATTTTGAATCAAATTGAAAAACAAAATAACATGCATCAGTAAACCGCCATGGGTGATATTGATACCAAGTTTGAGTGTAATCGGGCCAGCGAATCCAAACAAATTGACATTAATAGGTATACCATTACATCTCTGCTTCGTACTAACTTTACTCCAATTCATGTTTGAGAAATAATGTTGGACGTACACGTGGATGGATGTAACTCAAAGTACAAATCCCTGTTTTGGACCATGTTAATACAGTTCTAACCAAATTCATATTTTGAAATCTTATAGAAATATAAAATCTTATTCAAGGCATATTATTGAGGTAATTTTCATATGAAATACAATATTGAATTCACCAAATTATAGTGTATTCATCACAATGTTAATACATGCATTACATATATCATTTGCTGCATAGAAAATAATAAATAACTATTTATACAAAAAAAAGACAGTCTCTTTCTTATTTGACAAAAATATTTGATTCTGGCTCGAGTGTACTATAAGACAATACATTATTTCATAAATAATATTAAACAATTAAATAATATTAATAACATCATTGATAATTAAATTAAATCAACAGATAAGAACAAAGAATTGACTGTCAGTTATGTATGGCTGGTGAATTCATGACAACTAATACAATGTTCCTATTTTTAGCATGAATAAATCTATATTGAAGCTACAACTCAAATATAATACCTGGTAATACAATGTAACTTGTATTTTGAAAAAAAACAAAACATAGTGAAACTAGAAGAGAGACCATCATCATTGGTGATGGTAATTGCATGCACTTTTAGTTGAGTTTATTTATTATCTATCAGCTCAATGATTTTGTTATGTATCTGCCATAGTGATGAATCAGATTTTACAATAATCCAGTAACGACGTTTTTATATATACAATTCCCCGTCTTCAGACTCCAGTAGCTATGTATCGGTTCGAACTAAAACAATCTGAATGTCTTTGCTGGACTCCCTAGTCCAGGTGGAGCAGACACTTGATTTGACATTGCTGTTAAGTCTGGTTTTCTCTTACGACTATCACCTGTATAGTCGTATACTGCCTGGGCAGAATGGACATCATCATGTATTGCTCTGAGTGGCTGTGAAACACAGTTAGTAGACGAATGTGCTAGTTTTTGTCTGTGTTGGTTCAGCAACATAGAATTTGATACAGCACTATATTTCTGATGGGCATCAAACACATGTTCGTTTCTGATTCCCTGACTTGATGATATTGATGATAAATTTTTAAAAGGATTATTATTATTATTAAAGTACTGATTTTGCTGTGTTGACATGTTGGGATAAATTTCATGATGGGATGAGGATGAGGTACTTGGATACTTTCTTTGTTGAGATGTAGATGAAGTATTTGGATATATTCCTTGTTGAGAAGTGGACGAGGTACCGGAATAAAGTTGGGACATGGAGGAAGTACTTGGATAAATTTCTTTTGGGGATGTGGATGAGGTACTCTGATAAAAACCTTGTTGGAATGTTGATGCAGTACTGGAATACATTCCTTGCTGGTATGTTGTTGATGTGATAGGATATATTCCTGATGATGACTTCCAAACATTGTTACCAACTGGTGGTAAATAAGAATCACAGTGGTATCTCAATCCAAACAGACTGGGTGCTGTAATTTTACTGGACGGAGCAGAGCTGGGTCTTGCATCAGGGGCTGGATGTTCAAGATGGTCAACATGTAATGATGGTGTTGAATTTGGCCTTACTTGCCATGATACTGTGTCTTGTAACTGACTTAAACTAAGCGTGATGTTACTTGCCAGTTTGGTTTGGGTGTCTGGGTATGAACTCATCATGGGTAAATCAATGCCCGACTGATCACTGCTCTGAGAACGTCTCTGTGCAACCCGACTTTCAGCTTCAGTCATTAGCCTGGCACACTCTTCGAAGTCAGTAGTATTCGCAATATCCAGCTGTGAAACACTGCTAATATTACCAGGTTGTTCAAAATTAAAACTGTCCTCAGTCATTGATGCGCCATTTGGAACAGATCGATGCGTTGATGGCTGTTCAGAATCATCAAAATTTAACTTTCTACGAGATGAACTTCTACTGTTGTCCAGTGAGAGAGAAGTAATATTGTCTTTGGGCGTTGATACTAGATTGTTCTCACTAGACTTTAGGATGGACAATCTACTGAAACATGAAGCTGGAGTCATGGGAGTCGGAGCTTCGAGATTTAAAGAACTTTCTTCCATCAAGCTAATCTTGCTTACGTCATTAAATGATCTATTATTTCGATCTAATTTACTTGAACCAAAAGAAGGTTTTTCTTTTTGAGGTTCTCCCTTTACACTATCTGGGTGGTTACATTCAAACTTTTTCAATTTCTCTTCCAATTCCTCAATATAATCATCACTTCTTTGTAAGGCTCGTTTAAGTTGACTCATTTCCTGTTCATATTGGTTTAACTTGGACTGCTGCGCTGCCACCGTGTATCTCCCATATCTGAAGATATAACACAATACGATTGGTCAGATGACATGCTGCATAGGATCAATAATAATGATGTAGAACAATGCATGTGTAATACTTATTTATCGTTTTTGTCTTAGACGAGCATTTTAAACAAGAAGTATGTATAACTGTGTGACACTGACATATGAAAACATACATACATAAGCACCAAAGATCAAATAAACGAAATTACATTACGATAGAAAAACAAAACATGCAAAAAACAGATTTCACAATTCCTATGCAGAGAATAATAGCAAACTATTAAACAACAAATGACAATCAAAGAAAGCTTAGAAAGAACTCCCATGTGC